CCTGCCAGCAATGGCTGAGCATCGTTCAACTGGCAGCCAGGCAAAGGCTGCGCATCGTTCAACTGGCGCCAGGCAAAGTCTGACATGTTCAAAGTGGCGGCCAGGCAAGGCCTGCGATTGTTCAAGTGGCGCCAGGCAAGCCGCGCATCGTTCAATGGCGCCAGGCAAGGCCCTGCATCGTTCAAGTGGCAGCCAGGCAAGGCTGCGCATCGTTCAAGTGGCAGCCAGGCAAGGCTGCGCATCGTTCAAATGGCGGCCAGGCAAGGCTGCGCATGCATTCAATGGCGGCCAGGCAAGGCTGGCATCGTTCAACTGGCAGCCAGGAAATAGCTGCATATGTTCAAATGGCAGCCAGGCAAGGCTGCACATCTTCAATGGCAGCCAGCAAGGCTACGCATCGTTCAAGGCAGCCAGGCAGGCGCTCATCTTCAAGTTGCGGCCAGGCAAGGCCGTGTATCGTTCAAGTGGCGGCCAGGCAAGGCTGCACAATGTTCAACTGGTGGCCAGGCAAGGCTGTGCTTCGTTCAAGTGGCGGCCAGGCAAGGCTGCACATCATTCAAGTGGCAGCCAGGCAAGGCTGCGCATCATTCAAGTGGCAGCCAGGCAAGGCTGCGCATCGTTCAAGTGGCGGCCAGGCAAGGCTGCACATCATTCAAGTGGCGGCCAGGCAAGGCTGTGCATCGTTCAAGTGGCAGCCAGGCAAGGCTGCTCATCGTTCAAGTGGCAGCCAGGCAAGGCTGCACATCATTCAAGTGGCGGCCAGGCAAGGCTGCGCATCATTCAAGTGGCGGCCAGGCAAGGCTACACATCATTCAAGTGGAGGCCAGGCAAGGCTGCGCATTGTTCAAGTGGCGGCCAGGCAAGGCTGCGCATCGTTCAAGTGGCGGCCAAGGAAGGCCGCACATCGTTCAAGTGGCGGCCAGGCAAGGCTACGCATCGTTCAACTGCAACCCGGTAATGCTGCATATTGTTCAACTGGCAGCCGGGCAAGGCTGCGCATCTTTCAACTGGCAGCCTGCCTAGGCAATGCTGTGCATCGTTCAACTGGCAGCCTGGCAAGGCTGTGCATCGTTCAACTGCAGCCTGCCTAGGCAATGCTGTGCATCGTTCAACTGGCAGCCAGGCAAGGCTGTGCATCGTTCAACTGGCAGCCAGGCAAGGCTGCGCATCGTTCAAATGGCAGCCAGGCAAGGTGCATTGTACAACTGGCAGCCAGGCAAGGCTGAGCATCGTTCAAGTGGCGGCCAGGAAAGGCTGCACATTGTTCAAATGGCGGCCAGGCAAGGCCGCACATGCGATCAAGTGCGACGGCCAGTGCAAGGCAGCTGCATCGTTCAAGTGGCGGCCAGGCAAGGCTGCGCATCGTTCAAATGGCGGCAAGGCAAGGCTGCACATTGTCCAAGTGGCAGCAGGCAAGGCTGCGCATTGTTCAAGTGGTGGCCAGGCAAGGCTGCGCATTGTTCAAGTGGCGGCCAGGCAAGGTCGCACATCGTTCAAGTGGCGGCCAGGCAAGGCTGCGCATCGTTCAAGTGGCGGCCAGGCAAGGCCGCACATCGTTCAAGTGGCGGCCAGGCAAGGCCGCACATCGTTCAACTGGCGGCCAGGCAAGGCTGCGCATCGTTCAACTGGCAGCCATGCAAAGCAGCACATCATTCAACTGGCAGCCAGGCAAGCCTGTGCATCGTTCAACTGGGAGCCAGTCAAGGCTGGGCATCACTGAACTGGCAGCCAGGCAAGGCTACACATTGTTCAACTGGCAGCCAGGCAAGACTGCGCATCGTTCAACTGGCAGCCAGGCAAGGCTGCGCATCGTTCCCACTTGCAGCCAGGCAAGGCTGTGCATCGTTCAACTAGCAGCCAGGTGAGGCTGTGCATCGTTCAACTGCAGCCATGCAAGGCTGTGCATTGTTCAACTGGAAGCCAGGCAAGGCTGTGCATTGTTCAACTGTCATTCAGGCAAGGCTGTGCATCGTTCAACTGGCGGCCAGACAAGGCTTTGCATTGTTCAACTGTCAGCCAGGCAAGGCTGCACATCGTTCAACTGGCAGCCTGCCAAGGCAATGCATCATTCAACTGGCACCCAGGCAAGGCTGTGCATCATTCAACTGCAACCCGGCAAAGTTACATAATATTCAACTGGCAGCCAGGCAAGACTGCGCATTGTTTAATTGGCAGCCAGGCAAGGTTATGCTACCATTCAATTGGCAGCAAGGGAAGGCTGTGCATCGTTCAACTGCAGCCATGCAATGCTGCGCATCGTTCAACTGACAGCCTGCCAAGGCAATGCATCATTCAACTGGCACCCAGGCAAGGCTGTGCATCATTCAACTGCAACCCGGCAAAGTTACATATTATTCAACTGGCAGCCAGACAAGACTGCGCATTGTTTAACTGGCAGCCAGGCAAGGTTATGCTACCATTCAATTGGCAGCCAGGCAAGGCTATGCATCATTCAACAAGTAGCCAGCAAGGCTACGCATCATTGAACCAGTAACCAGCAAGGCTACATATCCTTCAAGCACTAGCCGTCAACACTACACATCATTCAATGAATAACTAGTGAGGCTATGTATAGCTCGACACTTATCCAGTATGGTAATGCCTTACTGAACTACTGAAAGTGACTTCTATGTTATACAACAAATAGTCAATATACCTGTACATCATTTAAAAGAATAGTCAATAAGGCAATGTATTATTCAGACTAGCTAATAAAGCCATGACAAATGTAACAAGTAGTCTACAAAACTACATATTCTATCTTTCAATAGTACCCAGTAAAGCTGCGAGGCTTTCACTGAGTATCTAATAACATTACATTAATAAGGGGATTGAAATCTGAAGGGGCCATATGGCACTTGGGAAACTGGAGGCAGATTTGATCTAAGGAAATGGAGGGCAGTTCCAATTTCCTGGATCAAGAGCCTCTCACCAGCATTAAGGCTTTACTGAATCTTTGAAGCATTCTGTCCAATACTGTGTGTTTGTATTTTACTTAATGATGCTGTATAAAAACCATTCTGAAGAACATCATCTAAAATCAAACTGAAATTCCTCTCCTTAACAAAATTTAAGGAAACTCCTTTTGGAACTTCATTCAACTTCATCAGTACTTTAATCTGAATTTCCAAATATCTGCAACTTAATATATTGCAACTTCTATATCAATTAAAGCTCCTTGATTTTTCTGTATCTGTATTCTATAATAGCTTATCACATCGATTCATAGGATCCCCGAAATTATGAACTAAGTGTACATACAACAATTTGTATGAACAATGTACATTATGAACTTCTCTAAGCCACAATTCATTACACGTATAATACTAAGAGGTTGTAGAGGAAGACATGTGCAACACCTGGAGTTTATCAAATAAGGAGGCATGAGGATGGAGCCTTTAGTACTGGAACCAGTGGAAGTAATGGAGAGATGCGGCGGTTCAAGACATGATTAAGTGGGACCCACTGGTGGAAGTCTGTCCTCATGCCTTCGTAATAAACTGAGAAATTGGGCTATGCAGGTTAAACGTCTCTCACAGATACCCAGGTGTTTGCACGTGTCACACTCTTTAACTTTACAATACAGCACAGGAGGGCCCTGCTTTACAGTGCTTCGCTTTACGAAGTTTCACTAATGCAGCAGTTTTCAATTATACCCATTCTTCGTTAATTAATACTTTATTTTTTTTTTTATTAACACACTGGCCTATTCCCACCAAGGCAGGGTGGCCCGAAAAAGAAAAAAACTTTCACCATCATTCACTCCATCACTGTCTTGCCAGAAGGGTGCTTTACACTACAGTTTTTAAACTGCAACATTAACACCCCTCCTTCAGAGTGCAGGCACTGTACTTCCCATCTCCAGGACTCAAGTCCGGCCTGCCGGTTTCCCTGAACCCCTTCATAAATGTTACTTTGCTCACACTCCAACAGCACGTCAAGTATTAAAAACCATTTGTCTCCATTCACTCCTATCAAACGCGTTCACGCATGCCCGCTGGAAGTCCAAGCCCCTCGCACACAAAACCTCCTTTACCCCCTCCCTCCAACCTTTCCTAGGCCAACCCCTACCCCACCTTCCTTCCACTACAGACTGATACACTCTTGAAGTCATTCTGTTTCGCTCCATTCTCTCTACATGTCCAAACCACCTCAACAACCCTTCCTCAGCCCTCTGGACAACAGTTTTGGCAATCCCGCACCTCCTACAATAAATATATTCACCACTCACTATAAGCCAAGGACAATATTTAAAGGTAAGTAAAATGACATGGAGAGCGTATAAATCTGTAGGGAAAGGAAGGCGGGGTAGGGGTCATCCTCAAAAAGCTTGGAAGGAGGAGGTAAAGGAGGTTTTGTGGGCAAGGGGCTTGGACTTTCAGCAAGCATGTGTGAGCGTGTTAGGAGTGAATGGAGACAAATGGTATTTGGGACCTGATGAGCCATTGGAGTGTGAGCAGTGAAAGGATTCGGGGAAACCAGTTATTTTTATATAGCCAGACTTGAGTATTGGAAATGGGAGGTACAATGCCTGCACTTTAAAGGAGGGGTTTGGGATATTAGCAGTTTGGAGAGACATGTTGTATATCTTTATAAGTATATGCTTCTAAACTGTTCTGTTCTGGGCACCTTTGCAAAAACAGTGATTATGTACGAGTGAGGTGAAAGTGTTGAATGATGATGAAAGTATTTTCTTTTTGGGAATTTTCTTTCATTTTGGGTCACTCTGCCTCGGTGGAAGACGGCCAACTTGTTAAAAAAAAAATTAGTGTGTGTACTGCATTTGCATTTATAGGCCTAGCTCTATTGCTCACTTAATGTATGATAGTGTAAACATGTTTTCAAGCTTTAATATACATTTGAAAGTGAAAAAAATACTATGTTTTACTTTATAGCAGTATCCAAGAACCTAACCTGCTACATAAGCAGGGCCCGCCTGTATAAGCAAACTGCTAGCTGAATTTACATCCAAGGCAAAAAAAATAAAAGAAATATCTTACCTGCCAGCATTTTTCACAGTAAGGCACAAAAGGAGTCTTCTTTAAGCCACAAATAAGACAGTCCCAACGTTCCGGGATCAACTCAAGGTCATTATCAATCGACTGATCATCTGTGTCTGAATCATCTGCCCAGAAGTCTTCCTCCAACTCATCCTGGCTTGACTCGGGTAAAGAAAAAACAACCTCAACGTCCTGTAAAAATAAAAATGGAAGACAATCAAGTTAACAGTGTGCCTTTTTAAGTAATTTAATCAACAAAAATTACTTTTAGCCCTAGGTTTATCAAAATTTTCTACTCTCAGTAAACAAGTACAAAATTGTAAATACCAAACACCTAAAATAGAAAAAAAAAAAAAAAAAACTGACATTCATTTTTCGTAATACATGTATGCTAAGGAGTGAAACACCACACCACACCTTGCTATCCAGAAGAGGCAAAGAAAACCACTAGCATCTTCACAAGAGTAACAGATGAAGAACCATCCATCACTCAAACTATGTCCATTCTCACCAATGTTTAATTACTTTACCACATACAAAATAAATTGCTGACCAACCTCTATTACAGAATCGTCATCATCAGACTGTTCTTGTTCCTTGTCATCATCTGAAGCTATTTCATATTCTTCATAGGATTCAGCCTCTAACTCTGCCTCAACATCAGTGTCCTCAAACTCAGTATTATGACACAAAGCTGAAAAAAAATCAAATCAACATTCAGTCATCTGCTTCCTTTGACACTATACAATGTTTCTTAAAAATTCTTCTATTAGAGATTATAAGTGCTTGACAACAATGTAAGGCTAATTATCAACAATGTCCAACAGAAAGTAGAATGGCTAAGTGTTTTTCTTTTTCCCTAATTTCTGGATAAAAGAGGCTGAGTGTAAGTTCGAAGAAGAATGATTGATGAAACAGTAACATAGAGGGTAGTAAGGGAGAAAGAGACCAAGTATGAGAGAAGTTTTTTAATGTAAAGATGATAAGAGTATATGGGGACAAAGATCCAATGGCTGAGAATATGGTTTTAAAGAAATTAATATGAGAAAGACACAAGTTTATCTCTCCTAAGTACAGATTATCTCTGTAAAGTTACAGCCACAGTATTGTAACTTTCCATTCTTCCTATAAATCTACTTGCATATTCTGCAAGATTAAATACTCAGAAAATAATTTATTCAGGATATGTAAAAATAAATTAAAGTAAAAACATCAATATAGACAAGAATTAAACCTACCTGTCTCGTATCCTTGCATACTATACACAGACTCTGCATCAGAATTGCTTTCAGGGTTATCACAGAGGGTGAATTTGTAGGGTATAAAACCAGCAGTCTGGCTTGGCCTCCTCCACCCAGGTTGGCTTTCTCTAGAGGGTCCAGGAGCAGAGCTGAAGCCAAGAGAGCCATTCTGGCCATGCTGAAGTTCCCTTGAATGAATCAAGGTTTCTGAACTCTTTAAATGTTCTGAGGTCGTAGCCCTTGTGGGCACTAATACCTCTGTTCTGCCATTAGTTTCACTTAAAACGCTAGTTACAAAATTATTAATAGAAGTAGTACTCTTCCCCTCAGCAGCATATTTATCGGCTGAATGTTCACCTAAACTATTTTGTTTTATCTGTACACAAGTTGCATCTGATGCAACAGGTACTGATGGGCTTCCTTTTGTTTCACTATAAGGAAACTCTGGCAGCACTCTGATGATATTCTTAGAAATCAGCACCCTGTAAAAAATGGGTTATCATTAGCATCAACAGAAATCACGAACAAGACTACACATTAAAACTCTGCTTAGTATTACTGATGAAACATATTGAGAGATAATTTTAAATTTTAGATACTGTACTAAATAATAAAGGTGAAAGCATGAGATTATAGTGAAGGGATTTTTACACTGAGGTGGTGGTATAGCAAATTTCTACCAATTACTATGTGGTCAACCACAAAAACATGCTAACTGTGGGATGTCACAATGATATATTGTACATTACATAGCCACTCATTTTACAGTCTCCCAGGATTAATAAGTATCACAAATGATTCAAGCTCTTCACCAAATTTAGAAATAGGTTTACCAGTCATTTAACTGTTACAAGCAGTAGACAATCAATTAAGATGTGATCTTTTAGGATGTTTGCAATGTGACAGTTGCAAAATTGTGGCATTTTTTCAACCATGACTCCATGAAGTTGATTTCTGAAGGTGCAACGTTAAGGAAAACATATAGAGCAGTGCAGGACTGGTCTGGCCTGGCCTGCAGGAGCATACTGTCCATCTCACAGGCATCTAGCCTGTGAGTCAGGCCTTATATTTATATGGGAGGCCTGGAGGTTACCTGGAGGTTATTCCGGGGAAAACCCCCCCCGCGGCCCGGTCCATACCAGCCTCCCGTGGATCAGGGCCTGAAAACTAGGCTGTTACGCTGGCCGCACGCAGTCCAACAAAAGAGCCACGGGCCCCGGCTGACCCGGGCACTGACTTCAGGTTCTGTCCAGCTCCCCTTTTGAAGGCAGCCAGGGGCTTTTTGGCAATTCCCTAAGCTTGTTTATGAAAATATCTCCCCTCCTGCGTTCCAATAAGACAAGTGAGTGCTTCCAAGCTTCCCATATTAAGGTGCTTGACAGAACTTATACGTGCAGTAAAGGATCTCTGTACACTCTTAATCTGCGTTTCACCTGTTTTAATGGAGATGTTAATGAAAAGCAATTCCACCCTAGAGAGAAAAAGTGATTTGAAAAGGATATCTTTGGTTTGGCATCTCTCTTTTTAAAAAGTTTCTTTATCCCCTATCATTTTCTTTGCACGTGCGATCGTGGCCTGTTGTGATCCTTGAAAGGAGTCCTCAGATATTACTACTCCCGGGTCCCTTACTTTTTTTTCCGCTCTATTGTAGGCCGGAGTCATATATCCCCTTGTTCTAGTTATTTCTCCTCCAGTTTTCCATAACGGGTAGTTGGAATTTGTCCTCATTGAAACCCTAAATTTTTTACCCTTTCCCCGGAAAACTTTTTTTTTATTTCTTGAGGTTAACCCGTCCCAGCAGATGACAGCCCATGCAGACCCAGTATCATCCCAAAGGATGATGCGGGGCTGTGGTGTTAAAACTCTATGTCTGATATGAGGATAAGGAATAAATGGGGGCGAGTACTGTGCCTTGTTGAACAGAGCTCTTCACTATGGCAAACCTCCGATTTAAAATCTTTTTTTGCCACACTCTTTGTTTCGATTTTTTAGGAAAATTGAAGACCACTCCCCCCTTTCCCATTATTCCTTTAGCACTTTTTTATGGGGTATTACCCTGATCGCATTTGTCAAGTGCTTTTGCAAAGTCGTGTTTTTACCTGCATTTTTGTTTTCTTCCAGTGCATCCAAGGCCATGTCATAGGATCCAGTATTGTGGAGCGGAGCGACCTGCCCGAACCCATATTGGGGCCCGGATTGTCGATTTTGGAATCCAGGCGTTTCAATCCTGCCTTTTTGCACTCTTTCAAAGATTTTTTGAGTGGGATCAGAGCATTTGTCATAGTTCTTTGCTAAAGCTTTCTGCCACCTTTTTGGGGTGGGGCTATATCCTTGTTTTAAAAAAACTGTGGGAATTTTACCCAGTCCAACTCCTCCCCAAGTGTCTTAGGGGACGCGAGAGGGGGTTTTTTGCAGTTCTTAATGAAAACAAGTTCCACGATCTGGGCCCCGGGCTGAGTGCATAGGGATGTTGTCAATGGCTTTTTTTGAAATCTATCGGATTAGGGTAATGTCGGAAATCTGCTCATTTATGGAGTTTTGAGGGTCATTCATGAAGAAATCATTTGGGTCGTCGATCCTCAGACCGATTAGTGGTTCACTAAACACAGTCATACTGGGATTTCAATATTTCACTCATTTCCTTGTTGTCATCTGTGTAAGTCCCATCCTGTCTGAGTAAGGGCCCGATACTAGATGTGGTATTTGCCTTGTTTTTGGCATATGAAAAGAAATATTTTGAATTTCTTTCAATTTCACTAATAGCTTTAAGCTCCTCCTGCCTCTCCTGGTTCCTGTAAGAGTCATTTAACTTAAGTTCGATAGTTTTCCACTTCCCTGGTCAGCGCCCTCCTTTCGTGTATCAGATATTCTAGCACTCCTGAGGAGCTCGGTGACTCTTCGTCGTCTTCTGTAGAGGGAGCGTCTTTCTCCAGTTTACTCCTGCTCTTCTTCTTTCTTAGGGGAATATGCCTAGAACATGCTTCAGCTGCCAGGAAGTTGATCCTTTCAAGGCACTGGTTTGGATCCATGTCATTTAAGACATCTTCCCAACATGTTTCGTTTAGGACATGGTTTACCTGGTCCCAGTTGATGTTCTTGTTGTTGAAGTTGTATTTTGTGAAGACACCTTCACAGGTACATGCATTCTGCTGATCAGGACCCCTATGCATGTACGTCTGGACTTCGATTAGGTTGTGATCGGAATTAGTTGTTTTTAATATTCTTATGTCTCTTATCAGGTCCTCATTATTTGTGAAGATAAGGTCAAGTGTGTTTTCTAGTCTTGTTGGCTTCACTATCTGCTGGCTTAAGGTGTGCTTTTCGCAGAGACTTAGTAGCTCATGTGTGTGTGACCTTTCATCTGCGCTACCTCCGGGGATTGTTTCAGCTATAACATTATTCGCTACATTCTTCCATTTTGTATGCCTTGGGTTGAAATCACCAAGCAGTAAGATGTTTGGGGATGGAGCTGGAAGGTTTTTCCAAACAGTAATCAATTTTCAGTAGCTGTTCCTTGAACTGTTGTGAGGTTGCATCTGGTGGCTTGTATACAACCACAATGACTAGGTTTTGGTTCTCGATCTTTATTGATAGAACTTCAACCACCTCATTTGTGGTGTTCAGCAACTTCGTGCAGATAAGGGACTCTTTGACATACAGGCCAACCCCCCCTTGTTGCCCGTTTTTTCTGTCGCATCTAAAAAGGTTGTAACCACTTATCCATATTTCACTGACAATGTGATCTTTTGTGTGAGTCTCTGTGAAGGCTGTAAACATTGCATTAGACTCCTCTAGAAGTCCACTGATAAAAGGTATTTTGTTGTTGGTGGATGGCTTAAGGCCCTGTATATTAGCCAAAACGAATGAGGTTGTATTCTGTGTTGGGGGGGATTTTGTTATTGGCATCAGTAGTTGTAATTCTGGAGGGCCATTGGTGGCCACTGGCTGTGCCTCCAGTCCAACAAGGCTCCAAGGTGGTGGACTATTTTTGTTATTTCCTAGTTGCATTTAATATACACCTCAGAGCTCTGTACATACACATCCCATACCATACTTAGATGTGTTAGTGAATCAAATTTATACTGTTTTATTATCATATCTTGTGTTAGTATAGGAACCATGACACTCAAAGAGAAATGAGAGTGATGCTAGATGTGGGAAAAGGTTTCAGCATTCAAGACTTGGCGTTATGAAGAAAACTGAAATACAGTCGTCCCTCGGTATCCAAGGGGACTGGTTCCATTGCAGATACCAAGATCTTGTACATGGTGTAGTATTTGCACATAACCTATGCACATCCTCCTGTATACATTAAATCTCTAATTACTTATAATAATGCTCTAGTTAATAACAGTTATAGGAAGCTGTTTCTTCTTTTTCTTTGCATCATCAAACAAATCTTGCAGTGGTGGTAGGCATGTATCAGGGTTCGTGTCATAGTTCTACAGCTTTGAAGCCAGTGTCAGTGCTTTAGTTCTATGCCTTGAGTTCAGCTCACTCAGATAAACTGTAGTAAATTTGGGCCTAGATAGGAGAGAATGGGTCTATGTGGCAAGTGTGCACCATATAAAAAAACTCCTGCAGCAAGCAGTGCATAGAGGAAAAAAACTGCAACTGTATTTTTGGTTTTATTATAAAACACTGATTTTGCAGTGTATTTTCGTATGGTTTATGTAGTTGTATTCATGATTTCTTGGTCTCATTTGATAAAAATGGAAGATATATTACAGAAACAGAGATGATTCTGATCAGTTTTAGGACTGAAAATAACTTGAAATTGAGCTCAAAGTAGCAGAAATTTTCAATTTTTGCCAATTTCTGTTGATTTTTGCCAATTAAGAGTAAACAAATCACATCACACGTCCAATACATGTCAACTGGTGGGTTTGATGTGCATTCATGAATACACTGATATTATTTATACAATTACATATTACAATATTGTGTAACAGCAAATCTATTTTTTGGTGTAAATAAAAATTATTTGTGTGAATAAAAAATCAAAATGGAATTCATGTGTAAAAGCCTGGAAACATAACTAATAAACAGAGGAAATGTTATTCTAGTGCCCGGAATGCCTGCATTGTTCATTCTGGACTTTATTTGAAATTTGTGTGAAACTGGCCAAATTACCAATTTCTGATTACTTTATTGGGTGGTTGAAATAGCTAAGAATTTGGTCAACTGGAAATATGTAATTGGCCTAAAACAGGACTCAAAGTGGGCAAAAATCACTGATGCATAAATAATGCTGACACAGTAAAATTTGTGAAAGTATAACTCGTCAATTTTCCATCAAATTTTGTACTTTGTTTTACTACATTCAGAAATAGATTCTCTACCATTTCATAAGAAAAAAAAAATTGAGAATTCTTGAACCCCGTGGACAAGTTTCAGAAGGGAAATGAGGTGGGGGAGGGGGGGGGGTCTGGACCCTGAAAGGGTTAACAACTCAGGGAATGACTATGTCTCACCTTAACTT